AACCAGAATGGGTAAAGATGCCTGGGATAGGCTGCAGCACCAGCTCAGAAGTTCTGGGACTGGGTACAAGTCATGTTATGATGAGCTGTAGTATCCCCTAGAAAGTACAAGATCCTGGGATGGAAGCAGGCCTGGTAGGGGAATTGTGGGCACTCCCCTGCTAGGCTGTAGCTCCTGTTGGTGAGCACAACAGCCAGGGCTAGGGATGGGTCAGGCTGGACTGGGTAGCAGTAACTACTGGCATATGTGGGCTGGGGCTAGGCATGGATTGGACTAGGCTAAGATGCAGCAATCATGGATGTACATGACAGTCACATGGGATGTGGGATGGGTCAGGCAAGGCCATTGCACAAGCCAGCAAGCTCAAGAACTAGGGTGGGCCTGATGGGGATTATTGTGGGTTGCCCCTCCTGGGCCTAGGCACCCATTGGTAAGTGTGAGGACTGGGCCTGTAGTGGTCTGGGCTGGGCTAGGATGCAGTACCCATCAGTTCATGTGAGAGATGGGGCTGCGTCCAGAACTGAACAGGCAGCTGCATCCACTGCTGTATAGACTGGCTGGTGCAGGTGACAGACTGAATCTGAATTTGCACTAGCTAGTGCACACAAGAGTCAAATGGGAGGCGAAGTTTCTTAGGGGAGTCCACAACTAGATGGCTGAACTCCAATCCTGGCCACAGGAAAAGTCATAAATATGTGGTTTGAACTTGAAGAACAAGTATCAGCAGTGGGCTTCCTTAGTTTGTATTGCCTGTACAGTTGACAGCATGCCCAGATGTACACAGGGAACATGAAAGCCATCTCATGTAGGCCAGCAGAGTACTTGGAATGCCTCTTCAGGTCATGGAGAGCAGAACACTGTACCACTCTCCTGGCCAAGCTTTGCAGCAGGTGGCTGGGTCTGAGGATGCATGCACCAAGGTAGACTTGGCCAGCCAAGAGACATTGGAAATATTTTCTCAACCTCGGAGCAGTGAGGCCAACAATGTCTCAGAACTATCAAAACTATTCAAAAAGTACCCTCAGAATGTTCTTCCCCACACTGGGATCTCTAAGGCAACACTGAATGACCACGATGATGCAGTCTGACAGCTAGCAACAGCCACCTCTTCTTCCCCCTCTGTGGGTGCAGGAGGAAAAAAGAATGGAAACATTTGTCTCACCCACATTCCTTCATACATGGACCTTAGCCACCCCAATCGAAGGTCCACATGGGCTTGCATCCCTCTCAAATATATAAATAATATCAAATATAAAAAATAAAATTTTACAGCAAAAAAAATTAAAATTTCTTTTCAGAAGAGAGAGTCAAAGAGAAGTCTTCCATGTACTGATTCATTCTACAAATTCTTCCAAGCACAAGGGCTTTGCCAGGTCAAAGCCAAGAGGCCTAACTCCACCCAGGTGTCCCATGTCAGTGACATGGACTCAAGTACTTGGACCATTGTCTGCTGCTTTCCAGGACATGGTAGTAGGTAGTTGGCTTGGAGGCTTCAAAGCCAGCATTTGTCCCACATACTTTAATATGGAATGTAGGCTCCCAAATACTGGGTTGCCCTGCTTTGCAAAAGCTTTACTCCTTATAAGTTCAAGCATATAGGGGAAGGCAAAACATCAATAGGTTGTTAGAGAGACCTTGGATTCTTGGTTCGGAGTGAGAATCATGGGTGCACATAAAATGTACTTTATGGGGACTGGTGCGGTAGCCTAGTAGCTAACGTCCTCACCTTGCACACACCAATGATCCCATATGCGTGCCGGTTCCTTTGCTGCTCCACTTCCCATCCAGCTCCCTGCCTGTGGCCTCTGAAAGCAGTGGAGGATTGTCGAAAGCCTTAGGACCCTGCATCCACATGGGAGACCTGGAAGAAGGTCTTGTTCCTGGCTTCAGATTGGTTCTGCTTTGGCTGTTGTAGCCACCTGGGGAGTGAACCAGCAGATGGAAGATCTTAGATCTTTCTGTCTCTCCTCTCTGTATATCTTACTTTCCAAAATGTACTTGGTTATCTATTTAGTGAAAGGGACAATAAAACATCTGAAAACAAACATGGAAATTAACATGGTTGAAAAGAACACTTTCCCCAAACATTCTTAACACAGGCAACACAAAAAGACTGAGCTGTGTATGATTCTAACTATGTAAATATGTCTTTGTCAGGGGTGGAGGGAAACCTGGCAATGTCTAGACGTCCTGTTTATGGTGGAGTTCTCCAAGCAAGAGTCACTGATTGTTTTCTCCTTTTTCCTCTGTTTTCACATGCATTTTAAATGTGTTTTTACAATGAGAAGTACAATAGGAAAAGATTTCAAATAATTCAGTTCCACACTCTTGCGTAGAAAAGCCCCTTACTAACCATAAAACCTTAGCATTAAGTAAAGCACGTCTCCTGAAGAATACATTCCTTCGCTCTTCTGAATTACTCTGTTTATTTTTTTAGACGTTAGGAATTTAATGAGGAAGAAAAGAACCGATTAAAAATGACAAAATGGAAAACATTAGAATTAGATTACTGAATGGAATGCAGACATCAGTAATTGCAAATATATCAGAGATTTGCAACCATTAAATAACTGTTGCTAGTGTGGCTCTTCATAGTGTCGAAGTTAATGCAAGTTGAGATTTTGAATGGAATTCTGGTCCAGATGAAGGACAAGTGAGAAAATGTGTGAAATATTATTTATTTGTCTAAAATATCACCTGTCATGGCAAGCAGTCCCTGTACCCTAAAAGAGTGTGTGTTCTGTTGCTTTTAAACAGAAGGTTCTGTATAGATTTATAAGGTCAATTTGGCATAATATTCCTTGATTATTTTCAACCTATATTATCTATTCTTTGTTGAAAGTGGTCTATTGAAGACCCTTGTTATTGTTATATAGCCAGCTATTTCTTGATTTAGACCTGTTAATATTTGCCTTCTACACAAAGGTGCTTTGCTATTGGATACATATATATTTATAATTATTTTAAGTTGCCTTTATTTTTTCTACCATAAATCCTCCCCCCCCCTTTTCTCTCATTATAGTTTTTTTAAATATTTATTTTCCTTTTATTGGAAAGGCAGATTTAAAGAGAGAAGAAGGTGCAGCAGCGTAGCCTGGGGAGGCCTGTGGCGACAGCTCTGACCGTCCCAAAAGCCCAAGGACCGCTGCAAGCCTCTCCCTCTGCATTCCCCCTCCCCACGTTGCAAATTTAATGCTAAATAAGAGGGAACTGTGCTGGCACACTGGGACAGTTAGCACAGAGCTGGCATGAACCTGGCCCAGAGCGCCAACCAGCTGTTGGCTGCTCTTCTAGCAACGTAACACTTGCCCAGGTATAAGACAACCTAACCAGTTGCCTACAGTTGTGTACTGTTTATTTTAAAGATTTATTTTTATTGTTATTATTTTTTTTTATAGGAAAGGTGGATATACAGAGAGGAGAGACAGAGAGGAAGATCTTCCATCCGATGATTCACTCCCCAAGTGAGCACAACGGCCAATGCTATGCCAATCCAAAGCCAGGAGCCTCTTCCGGGTCTCCCACGTGGGTGCAGGTTCCCAAAGCTTTGGGCCGTCCTCAACTGCTTTCCTGGGCCACAGGTGGGGAGCTGGAAGGGAAGCGGGGCTGCTGGGATAGAACCTGCACCCATATGGGATCCTGGGCGTGCAAGGCGAGGACCTTAACCACTGCGCCACCACGCCGGGCCCGTACTGTTTATTTTAAATGAGGTTTTAAGCATTTATTTGAAAGGCACCGAGACTGACACAGAAATATCCCATCTTTTGCTTCACCCCCAAATGCCTACAATAGCCAGGATTGGTTCAGGCTGAAGCCAGGACCCGAGACTCCAACTTTAGTGGCAGGAACCCGAGTCCTTGAGCCATCGTCGGCTGCTTCTCAGGGTGTACCTTAGTAGCAAAGTGGAATTTTGGGAGCCAGAGCTGGAACTTTAACCTAGGCACTCCAATAATGAGATGTGGGCATCTCAAGCAGCCTTTGATTTTAAACATGATGACTTTTCATTAATTCATATTCCAATGTTCAACCACTTTGAATTAGATTTTCCAAATGTTATATTTTTCTTGTATTTGTGAAAAGGGAAAGGTGAAACTGCAAGATTGCAGGATTTTGTACTTTCTTAGAATTTATAAAAAGTCTATAGCGGAATCCCTGCGGATTCTCCAATTAATGATTTAAAATGTTCCTCAGATGAATCTCTGGGCTTTTATTCTTTTCAGTCAGATGTTGTTGTTGCATGTCATAAAAAGAGAAGTAGTTCATTAAAGGCAAGATTAGAAATCCTAACTATTTATTGAGATCATATCTCCCATTTAATCAAAAACTATTAAGCACTGCAGAGGGGAGACATTTCCCGTAGTTCTGAGTGTGTATTCGCACACCCTGTTGTGGGACATTGCAGCCTCCGTAGAAGAGTCTTAGGTTAAAATCTGTTTTTCAGACAAGTAGCAGCTTGGAAGCTACTTGGCAGCACATATCAGGGTAGTGCTTGGGTGTGAGTCCCAGATTCTCTTCCAGTTCTAGCTTCCTGACCCAGGTGGGGCACCCCGATTGAGTTCCTGACTCAGGGCTTGGGCCTGTCTATCCCTGGTTACTGAGGGCATTTGGGAAGCAAAACAGTGGATGGAAAATCTTTGTCCCCCACTGCCTCTCTTTCAAATAAAATGGAAATAAAATTTAAACAGCCAATTATTAAGAAAAAAAAAAGTAACTCGAAAGAAAATAAACAACAAAATAGAAGTGGAGAGGCATCAGTTTAACAAAGATGTTATTACTATTTATTTAACCGTTCAAGAGGGCTTTGCTGCTGAGCCTATTTGTGCCCCTTTTGCTCTCATAGAGGAAAACATGAAAAATCAAACAAGGAAAAAAAAGATGGTTTAGTAGAGAAAATAAAAGGAAAGAATGCAGTTTAAACTTGTTACTAGCTTTGGAAGAGTTAACATTTCAGATGAGGTAAGCAGTCATATTTATTATCAATGAGCACAATTTTTTTCCAGATTGATGATTATCCAGAATTTTTGAATTCACCTGATAGAGAAATCAACCAGCACATTCGTATCATCTATTCTTCAACTGTTAACAAAGAATATGGAAAGTCAAAAGGTATTGGGAAATTGCTGTTTCCATTTCATCATGCCAGTGCTAGCAATAAGAAAGGTATGTAATGTATTTCTTAAACTTACATAAGAAAAGTTTCTCTTTTGAATTGATTTTTTTATGGGATGCTGACGGCACAACAGCACCTTAACTCATTATGTCACAATGCTGGCCACTAAATGTACCTATGTTTTTGAAAGGTAGAGTTACAGGGTTGGGGATGGGGGAGGACACCAAAAGCAAGAGTGAGGGAGGCATCTCCCACCTACTGATTGGTTCACCCCCTAAATGGCTGCAATGACCCAGACTGGGTGAGGTCAAAACCAGGAACCACGAGCTTCATCTGGCTTTCCCATGTGGGCGGCAGGGGCCCAAGTACTTGGGCAATCTTTTACTGCTTTCTTAGGCAGATTAAAAGGGAGCTGGCCCTGCTGTGGCCTGGGAAATCAGCGGAGGACAGCCCAAAGCCTTGGGACCCTGCACCTACATGGGAGACCAGGAAGAGGCTCTGGGTTCCTGGCTTCGGATCAACTCAGCTACAGCTGAACAGCCCTTAGGGAGTAAATCAATGATGGATGATCTTCCTCTTTGTCTCTCTTCTCTGTATATCTGACTTTCCAACACAAATAAATCTTTTTTAAAAATTGATGGTGGTGCGGGAGGTGGATCAGAAGTGAAACAGCTGAGAGATGCATTGGCACTCATACAGGATGCTGGGGTTGTAAGCAGCTGTTTGCCCTGCTGTACCATGCCAGCCCCTAAAATATACAACTGTTAAGAAACTCAGAATGGGAATAGCAAAAATGACAAAAGCAGAGTATATAAAATATAGATTAAAATATTTCTGAAGACATGACTTTATTATTAAAATGGATTTATTGGGATATGTTTTATATACATAAAATTCACTCAGTTTAAGTGTATAATTCAGTAATATTTATTAGGTTATACACTTGGGAATTCATCACTACAATATAGTTAAAATTATTTTTAAGATTTATTTTTTATTTACTTGAAAGACAGAGGCAGAGAGAAAGGGATTTTCCATTTACTGGTTCTCTCCCCATATGGGTGTAATGGCCACTCTCAAATTCTGTAACCCGTAAAAGTGCAGGGCCCAGGGATTTATCTTCCGCTGCTTATCCAGGTGCACCTGGATAATTCAGCATGGAGCTGAATTGGAAGTGGAACAACCAGGACTCAGCATCAACATGATGCTAATATGAGATGCAGGCTCACAGCTCAACCAAGTGCACCACATTGTTAGGCCCAAATTGTAACACCTAAAAAGGGAGAATTGGGGATTAGTAATGGCACAGTGAATTAAGCTGTTGCCTATGATGCCAGCATTCCTTATTGGAGTATCAATTAGAGTCCTGGCTGCTCTTGCTTGCCATCCAGCTTTGTGCTAATGTGCCTGGGAAGCAGTAAATGATGGGTCAAACACTTGTGACCCTGGCACCCATGTGGGAGACTAGGATGGAATTCACAGCTTCTGGCCTCCTCCTGGCTCAGCCTGAGCTGCTGTAGACACCCAGGGAGTGATCCAGAGAATGGAAGATTCTCCCTTCCTCTCTGTCACTTTGCCTTTCAAATAAATAAAATGTTTTATTTCAAGTGAGTTTTAAAGATTTATTTGGAAAAGTTCCTGTATTAGATTAAAAAGAAGCCTAAAGTTCTTTGCATTGAAGGTAGGCTGACAAATTCTTTATCATTAATACAGGGGCTGGACGTAGGATGGGTTGCTTGGGAGATTCTGGCCAAATTGACCTAACAGGATCCTTGCTGAAGGCAGGTCAGGATGACCAGACATCATCAGGTAGATGTGGATAAAAAGAAACCCCATTAGATAGAGAAATTTGTTGTATATCAAGAACAAGGATTCTGGCTAAACCCACATAGCATACTGTTGTCCCAACTGGACGATTCAGAGTTAAGGCCTAGTTTGAAAGTTCAGGGAAGCCTGAAGTAATCTTTGTGACCACCTGAGAACTGTGACACTCACCTTCCTGAAAGGATAAATATATAAAACCCTTAAATACTGTTGTTAGGGAGATTAGCATCTGCTGCAGGTTATTCTCCTGTTGTGTCCATGGAGATTGGGAGACCCACAGTGGGCCAGGGAAAGGAGGGAGGCGAGGAGTCGGTGCAACCCTGACCCACTCAAAGCTGATCCATCTGTGGCTTTGCCAGGTTAGGCTTTTCCCACAAGTTTTTTTTTTTTTCTTTAAAGATGTATTTATTTTTTATTGGAAAGGAAGATTTACAGAAAAAAGGAGAAACAGAGAGAAAGATCTTCCATCCACTAGTTCACTCCCGAAGTAGCCACAATGGCCAGAGCTGAACTGATCTAAATTCACTAAATTCACCTAATTGTGTTCACAAGACACACTGGGTAGCCATCCCCCATCCCAGGGTACTGACCCGGTTAGGATGCTGGGTGAGGCTTCTCCCCTTCTCTCTGTTCTTCCCCTGATACAAAAAGAAAAAAATTTGGAAACAATGCTCTCATCCACTTTCCCTTATTTCTTGACCTTTCTGACCCTAATTGGTGTTCCACGTGAGTATGCATCCTTCTCAACTATGTAAATATTGTCAAAAATAAGATTTAAAAAAAAAAACACCCTAAGATTGCATTCTTTGCTTGGAAGGAGAAGAGAAGGATTAAAGTCGGAGTGGTTTCTGGATAGGCCCTTCCACTTCTGGCATCTGGTTAGTGGGATGGGACCAGCCCTTGACAGCCTTTTCACTGCCCACTGGGCCTCACTCCAAGTTGCAGCCTCCTAGATTACTGGGTATCTCAAACCATGATTCGTTTGACTGGTGTGCATTTTTGTGGATGAGCACCTTTCTACACTAACACGAGATGAGCATGGAAACTCTGCAGAAGTTGTTGTAATTAGCAAGCCTATTAAATCCCTGGTTGTTCAGCAGGTCTCTTGTCACGCTAATTAAGGTATCTAACCGGTGTTGGTTGCCTTAAATGCATATTTATCCTTGTCCACAGGTGTAATTATTCTTGGCTTTTTGTTCCCAACATATATAAGAAGATAAAAACAAACGGAAAGAATACAGTAAAACAAGTTCAAGTTCTATAAAATTTAAATTCCTAGAAATTTTCTCAATGATGTTATAGCAGTGGAGTTTATCTTGTGTGATGTTGTGTAAACTTGTGTTTATCTTGTGTGATCTGAAATTACCCCCACTTGTTCTTTGCTGCCACCCCCAACCATCTGACTCCTTACATAGAGGATTTTGAAAACATAGAATTGCCACTATCACAAGAAGCCACAGTAAGTTTCAGGCAAGCTGCTTGTTCCTTGGGTTAGCTATTGCTGTGTACACCAGATCCTAGTGCTTCATCTGTCGGACATTTTGTAATAAATGTTCCTGAAGGAATAGATGGGAGATGGGCTTCAACCATCTGGCACTGAAATCTTTAATGCTAATGATGATGTCATGCCTAGAGGAAAATGTGTATTAACTCCTGTACATTTAAATGAAGGTAATTATGAGAACTGATGCCAAACCTCCTGGGTGAAAGCCCAGGGAATATTTTTGTCATGTGGCAGAGGTACTTGTGCTGTTATCAGCCTGATAGTCTGAACAAACTCAAAAGTGCCTATCATTTATATTTATATTAAAAGCACTTAACAGCATTTCTTTGGCTTTTCTGGAGAAAGAGACTTTTCTATCTACTATGTCCTTTATGTGGGTCACAGTTAGCACTTTAAATCATACTTTTTGCATTTAGATTTTTAAAAGATGGTTATTAAACAATATTGATGACAATAGAGTGACATAGTGAGCTGTATTCGTAGGTAAGGCTCTTGAATGGATTTAGTTATTATAATGTAGTTTCAGATACATTCCAGAACAGCAGTATCAGTAGAACTTTCTGCAATAAAGGAAATGTTCTAGATGTAGGCTAATTATATTACAGTAGCCATTGGCTTCTTGTAGCTATTCAGCTCTTGAAATCTGGATAACTGAATTTTATATTTATTTTTTTTTCCCACTGACCTACACCTTGGAATCTTGTAAATTTTAATTTAATCCTAAATGGTCAAGAATGGTCAGTGACTACTAAATTTTCACTCTTAAGTCTAGAATCAGAAAAGATATCATAAAGCTTTAATGATATATTTTGATATGTAGATATGAAATGAAATAAACCAGTTTCCGAGCTAGAATAAAATATGGTTAACGAGCTGTGAACTGAACTAAAGTACACATACACACATGTACACGCACATACATACACACTCACACACACACTGTAAGAAGTTTGTGGGTAGAGGGAAACTGGGCATTGTGTACTAATTGGTTAAGCTGCTTAGTTGAAACACTCACATACCATTTCTGAGCACTAGTTCAAGTCCAAGCTACGCCACCCTTCCAATTCACACTGTAGGCTGTGTGCCTGTAAGGAATCAGATGATGGCTTAAGAGGTTGGGTTCCTGCCAGCCATTAAGGAAATCCTGAAGAAGTTGGTTCTAGGCTCCTGGTTTAAGTCTAGTTGAACCCTGGCTGTTGCTGGCATTTTGGAAATGAAATAGCACATGGAAGAATCTCTCTTTCTTTCCTTTCTTTGTCATTCTTCTTTTCAAATAAATGTTTTTAAAAAGTATATGGAAGATAAAGTTAAGAGAAATTTTTCACAAGGAGGAGATAAGATAAATTCATTTTTATACCAAAACTGTTGAAATCCATGTATAAGAGGGGTCTTCAACCACATTAATAAATACATTAGGAAAAAACTCTGCTTTATTAATTTCAAAACCTTTCAGCACCAAATAAGCCTAACTTTTTATGGTCAGTTTTCTGTTGTATCTGTTTATAGAAATCATTTACTTGAGGGAGTCAGACAGATGGATAAGTAAGATCACTCCTATCTGCTATCCCCAGATGCCCATAATGACTATGACTGGGCTGTGGCCAACGCCAGGAGCTCAGCTTAAGGCTCCCTTCTGGGCAACAGACGCTGAACTCGTTGAGCTATGACGTCTGTATGCCAGGGTCTGCATCAGCACAAAGTTGTAATGTGGAGCCAGAGCCGGACCTTGACTCTAGGTGTCCTGATATGGAATGCAGTTAAGCTTTAGGCCAAATACCCCACCCATGAGGTTGCCTTTTAATTCCATTTGTCCGCAAACACTACGGTGTGTGTGCACATGCACGTATGTGTAAACTAAAACCTAGACATTTTCTAAAGCCAACAATATTTTATGAGATTAGAATCACCAGGCACTGATGGGTTTCTCTGGTTTAATGAACAGCTTCTTGTTTTGTTTTTTTTTAATTTGGGGTTTTTTAAAAAAGATTTATTCATTTTTATTGGAAAGTCAGATATACAGATATACAGAGAGGAGGAGAGACAAAGAGGAAGATCTGATTCACTCCCCAAGTGGCCGCAACAGCTGGAGCTGATCTGAAACCAGGAGCTTCTTCTGGGTCTGCCACACAGGTGCAGAGTTCTAAGACTTTGGGCCATCTTTAACTGCTTTCCCAGGTCACAAGCAAGGATTTATAAGGGAAGTGGAGCAGCCAGGATATGAACTGGCATCCATATGGGATCCTGGCATGTACAAGGCAAGAACAAATTCTTATTTATCAACAAGCACAAAATAGAATAAAATTTCCCACAAAACAAATGCTGTTTAAGCTTCCATGCCCCTGTGGCCATGAGCTCCTGCCAAAGTAAGACAGTGTTCATAGGCAAAGGGAAGATATTCTAGTCACAATCATTTCAGAATACAGACCAGATCCATTAATGTGTCTCACTCCTCTTCTTGGGAGCAGTGAAAGCATTTTATATTTGTCTTTGGAGTGCTGCAGGCATTTCTTAAGGTTGGTTCTAAAAACTTCCATATTTCAGGATCCATAAAATAAGGATCCACAATCGTAAAGATGTGATCATAATATTTAGCACCTTGATTTAATCACTGCACACTATAGTAGCAATTTATCATATTATGCCCTCTAAATATATACAATTATGTATCACACACAAATTTTAGAATTAAATAACAAAAGCTGCAGTCTTAAAGCAACAACAAACTGTATCTACTCCTGCTCTAGCCAGAGCTGCCTGATGTAGAGGAGGGTTTCTGACCCAAAGTGGGTTACACTGGGCCCTCCCCTGGGCTTGGGATTGTGGAGCCACAGTGACCAGTTGAGTCTCTAATGCTGCTGGACCCCATTGCAAGTCTCCACAGGTGCTCAGGCCATGGAATGGATCCCTGCTTGTCTGAGCTTCCAAGTTTTGTCTCTTCTGTTGTCTTTTGCTTCCGTAAGAAACTCCAAAATCCTTTAAGTTTAAAAAAATAAAAATGAAGATAGCTATATTTGTGAATGCATTGAAGATAATCTATATAAAAATTACTTGCATGATGCCTGGCAAAGTAAGGATACAATGAATATTAGCTTAATGTAAAATAAAAGGACAAATTATTTACATTAAGAAAACTTCCTTTAAGCATACCAGCAGGGATGTGTGCTATTTTCTGTTCTCCAAGCTGTTTTTTTCCCTGGGCTAGAGATTTCTGTATAGCTTAGACACAGTAGCCTACCTTCTACACGTTCAGTAATATGTGATCCTGAAATGAGAGATGACCCCAACCTGTCTGATCTGCAGATCCCACATGCTAGTATGTTTCTCTTACATCTGTACATATCTTACATCATCAGAGACGTTACTTGCATCACATTGAGCACCAGTAGTTCTGAAATGCCTACTGTTAGAAGGGACTATGATGACAGGTGTCTTACAGGTTCCTAGTTTGCAGGTGAGAGTATAGATTCTGCCTGTTTTAATGTCTCATATGCAGTTTTTGTTTCCTTTGAGTATATCCCTAGGAGCAGGATCACTGGGTCCTATGGCAGGTTGAGTTGCAATTCTCCAAGCACTCTCTATACTGATTTTCACAGTGTTTGTACTAACCTACACTCCCACCAACAGTGAAGGAGGGTACCTTTCACCCCACATCCATACCAGCATGTGTTGTTAGTAGAGTTCTGAATGTAGGCAAATCTCACTGGAGTTAGTTGGAACCTCAGTGTATTTCATTTGTATTTCCCTAACAGCTAGGGAGCCTGAGCGTTTTTTTCATATGTCTATTAACCATTTGAATTTGTTGTTTTGGAAAATGCCTGTTCATTTTCTTCACCCATTTCTTCACAGGATTGTTTGTTTTGTAGTTGTTGAGTTTCTGACACTCTGTAACATCTTTTAAAGATTTATGTTGAAAGAGTTACACAGTGAGAAGGAGAGATGGAGAGGAGCTCTTATGTCTACTAGTTCACTCCCTAGATGACTACAATAGCCAGTATTTGCCCAGGCCAAAGCCAAGAGCCAGGAGTTTCATCTGGCTCTCCCATGTGTGTGACAGAAGTTCAAACATATGGGCCATCTTCTGCTGCTTTTTCCAGGTCATTAGCCAAAACTGGAATAGCCAGGACATGAATTGAGGCCCGTATGGGATGTCAGTGTTGGCAGGCAGTGGTTTTATGTGCTATGCCACAATGCCGACCCCCATCTTCATTTTTGCAAAGTAAGATATTGAGGCTGGAGGAATATAGAAATTTGTGAAATTCACACCGCTGATTAATGGAAGAGTCAAAACTTGAGCACATGTTTTAGCGTCTAAGCCAATGATCTTTATGTTTTATGACACTGCCTTGCCTGTAATGTTGGACTTTCCAGTGTTTGTGAGGAACTATGAACTATCATATCAGAGCATGCTAAAAGATCTTCTTTGTATATATAATTAACTTATTTGCTAATGGCCAAATAAATTTTGTTTTTTAAAGTCACAGAAGAGAATAATGGTCCTGACTTTTGGAAAAGCAGCGAGCTGAGACGTCTGAATGAATCCCCTCTCAGGTGAGACTGTAGTTTGGAATATATTTTTAACTTGTTGGCCAAACATTATGTTGCAAAATTAATGTGAGGGCAGGCATCATTTACCTACCAGTTAAGATGCAACATCCCATATTAGAGACATTGTTCCAAGTCTTGACTCTGCTCCCAATTCTGGCTTTCTGCTAATGTGCGCCCATGAGGCCAGAGGTGATGCTTCAAGTTCATGGATTCAGCCACTCAATGAGAGACCTGGATTAAGTCTCCAGTGCGTATTTGGCTTCCCAGCCCCAGTTGTTGCAGGTATTTAAGTAGTGTAGTAGACCAGTCCATGGGAACTGTCTGTCACTGTTTGTTTGCATTTTTCTGTCTTATCCTCTGTCTCTCAAACAATAAAAGAAAATTAATGTGAATTTTTGGGCCCTGAAAAACAGATTGTGGCTAGTGGGAAATATCCAAATTAGAAAAGTGCTGCGAAGGAGAAGTGAACTCTGATAGGATTCAGAAACCCGTGGGATACGACACTGCACTGCTTAGGCTGTTAGGAAGGAACCTTCTCACTCTGCCCCTTCTCTCCTTCTCATCTTCTGTCCCATTTTTTACAGTAGTACCAATGGGCTATTCCAACCCTAAAGAAGGCTTATTTATTTTTCTTGGAAAGCCAGATTTACAAACAGAAGAGACAGAAACTTTTTCCATCTGCTGGTTCACTTCCCAAATGGCTACAATGACTGGAGCTGAGCTGACCTGATCAGAAGCCAGGAGCCAGGAGCTTCTTCGAGGTCTCCCACACAGGTGGTGGCAGGGTCCCAAGGCTTTAGGCCATTCTCTGCTGCTTTCCCAGGCCATAAGCGGGGAGCTGAATGGCAAGTGGAGCAGCCAGGACATGAGCCGGCACCTACATGGTATCCCAGCAGTTGCAAGGCGAGGATTTAGCCACTAGGCCATCATGCCTGGCCCTATTCCAGCCCTAAATTTCAGTATTATAACCTTTTTTCATATGAAACCCAAAACTTGTTTAGGAACACATTCCAGTTTGCTTTATAGAATTTTTTTAAACCTGACAGCCAGCTATTTTGTGTATTTTGTCCAGTTTTTGGTTGTATCAAATGAGAACATATTACTGGTTCTTTGTACTAAATCTTGGTTGGAAGCAGAAGAAAACTGGCAAAATTTGATGCTTACCTTAAAATGAGGTTGGTCAGTTGAACACAAAGCCTGTTGATACCCATGCACTTAGAGAATCAGATTGGCTGCAGAGGCTTTCATTTACTGTCCAGGAAGCCAGAATCTGAGACACCCACTGCTGTTTCCTCATGTGATGTTGCTGCTGTGAAATGAATTACAGTCTTAATCTGTGCAAACTGAGTGGGCCATGTGAGTTGTCAGCTCAGGTTGGGAAGAGGAATGGAAGTAATGATGACCCAGGGAAAGAGCAGAAATTCACAGAATTTTCATGGCACGCCATGGATCAGTCTCCTAAACACCCAGGGGAAGTTACAGACTCCTGGGCCCAGCTCCAGGCTACCGAGTTCCAACCTTAGGATGAGCTCAGCGGTTGGTTTTGGCTCATTCCCTAGATGACTGCTAGCAAGCTACCATGATTGGGAATTACTGGCCTAGATCATCTTCACTGACTTTGGTCTTCTCCTGGATTTTTGAGACCCCTGAGATCTACACTCATAATCTATTCCTAGTATCACCACCAGTAGCCCAGCACAAGCCATTGTCATCTGTCACATGGATGACAACAGCAGCCCCAATCACCCCATCTGACTCCATTTCCAGTACCTTTCCACTTCCTATCTCTCTCCACCTATCTAGTTTGCATCCTAAAGCCAAAGTAATATTTTCAAAATGTCCTGTTCTTACTTAAAGCCTTTCGGGAGTGCTTGCACTCACTTGCACATCTCTGTTGCTGTCCCTCTCTCTGTACCTCTTCAAAAGAAAAATGACAAAACACCTTTTCAGTAGTGCTCCTCTTTAGAGCAAATAACAGCTTTTTAACTGTGTGTGGTCATCCCTGCAAGACCTGACCTTTGCTCGCACTTGCAGTTTTGTCTCATACCATTTCACTTCTAGCTCATCACACTGGCTGGAGCACTGCCAGCCCTTAACAGCTCAGACCTTTGCACTTACTCTCTCATCTTATTGTTATCTTTCACATGACTCAATCCCTGTCACCCTTCAGGTCTTACCTATGATGTCCCCATTGAGTTTTACCTAATCATGCAGTCTGTAGTGTGCCACCTCCAACAAAAACAGTAAGTTTTTTTTTTTTCTAGTGCTTTATTGTTTCATAGCGTTTTTGTAAGCTGTGATTCCACATTTGTTGTTTATGGTCTTCCCACTAAACTGTAAGTTCACTACGCCAGGGACCTAGATTATCGTTGTGTAGCAATATATTTCTAGTGTTGACCCAGCACCACAGGCATTGTAGGCATTTAGTTTTTGTTGAATGAGTACAGGAGTGTGATTGTTCTGCATCCATGTTTTGAAGAGGCCAATGTACTTCCATTGTTGCAATTTATGAGCTTCCCAGAGGTGGGCTCCCTGCTTTGGGGAAAGCAGTGAAGAAGACGCAGCTACAGTGATGGCTGTGTACTTGTTCCCATGCTAACCAGTCTTCATTGCACATTTGGCTTATAATTCACAGAATTTGATAGCAGGCTCTGTTGGTCTCATTGTTTTCCTCTTAATTTTAGGAAAATAAAAGAGTTTTCCAATGATTGCTTTCTATAATTATTTTAGGTTATTGTTGGAGGTTGGAACTCTGTAAAAATAGGACGAAATACAGCCTAAGTAAACTAGGGATTTATTGAAATTATGAGTTAACTCATAGCTGGATTGATTTGGAGAGACATGTAGCTCTAATTACCTTCTCTATCCAGCATATTCTAGCTCCTGGGGCTCTGGGTTCACTTCAGACTGCACCGTGGTTAGCAAGAACAAACCACAAGAATGTGGGTATGGCCAAAGCAAGGTCAGGATGTGGCACTGCTGGAACAAGGGGCCTGAGTTTCAGGGAGCTCTGTCTCTGATGTTGGTATGTCAGTTTCATTTTTTCTCTAATTGAGTCCCAAAGCCCCTATGGGTTGTCAATATCTCCTCCCTGTCTCAAATTCACATTTTACATTTTTAACCACTAGATGAAGCCTAATGGAAGCACTTTAAAAGGATCTTTTATTTATTTTTATTGGAAAGGCAGACTAACAGAGAGAAGGAGAGACAGAGAGAAAGATCTTCTATCTGTTGGTTCACTACCCAAATGCTACTATTTCTGGAGCAGAGCCAATCTGAAACCAAGAGCCAAGAACTTCTTCTAAGTCTCCCAAGCAGGTGCAGGGTCCCAAGGCCTTGGCCTAATCATCCATTGTTTTTCCAGGCCACAAGCAGGGAGCTGAATGAGCAGTAAAGCAGCCGGGAGATGAACTGGTGCCCATATGGGATGTTGGTGCTTGCAACGTGTAGGATTAACCAGTTGAGCCATTGTACTAGCCCCCAAATACTTTTTTATACCAAATTTTTAAGATCTTGGAGAAGTTCTGTGACTTCTCAGCTTGATTAAATAGTTCGCTGATGATGAAGAACATCCACTATTTACAAGACATCAGGAACTTTAAAAACTGGGCAGCTTCTTTGTGACACACACAGAACAGAGGAGGAGTAGCTAACAAATAAAGGGTTGCAGAGGAAACTGTCACTATCGCATAGTTTTCAAGCACCATCATCTCTGTAATTAAACATTTGAATCTGGAAGTCCAAACAAAAGTCAGGCTGAGACAGAAAACACTAATTAGAAGATGAAAGGATGCTCTCAGGTCCAGAGCTTTGAAACACCTCTGAGGTGTCAAGTTTTATGCCTAATTATGTGAAGCCGCAGTCATAAGGAGGATGCTGTTATCTTGAGACATCAGACCTATTCAAGTATGCTTACTTTTCAGAGTAGTAAACAACAAGCCTTGAAACACCTGAGGGATAGGAAACAGACTGGTGGCTGCTGATAATGAGACCAGTATTTATGTCCCACTCTCTCTTTAGGATAGCTCTTCATTAGTGCACAGTTCTGTGTATTCATTGGCAGTTACAAGAGAATGCACAAGTGCATGTTTCTCCAAAATAATATTTTGGGAAGAAATGTCTTGTGACTTAAGAATTTCCTAAAGCCACTCTTAAAAAGTATAAAAAAAATATAGGGAAAGATTGAGACTAGTGATACTTGCATTATATAAAATTAAGTTGACTTTAACTAATATAAGGGGAAAATAAGTATAGTGCTTAACCTTAGCTGGATATGCAAAGTCTGTACCTTCAAGGGTAAATCTTTTAAAAGGCCTTACTGCTTTTCAATTTTAAAACACTTATTTTGCTTTTCAGTTTTTAAAATTTATTTGAAAGGTAGAGAAAGCTGTTTCATCTGTTGGTTTACTCCCTAAATGCCTGCAAATAGCCAGGGCCAGGTCAGGCCAAAAGCAGGAGCTGGGAATTCAATCTGAGTCTCCCACCTGGGCGACAGGATTCTAGGTACTTGAGCCATTGCCTGCTGCTGCCCGAGGTACACTTTGACGAGAAGCTGGAGTTGGAAGCCAGGTGCTCTGATGCAGGATGTGACATCCCAAGTGGTGTCCTCACCAAACACCTACCCCCAGAGTGGGTTTTGATATGAATCTGTAGCCCTTTTTGGTAATTAATTAAAGAAATCTGAAAACAGAAAAGTTGTGCCTGTGTGAATACTCTATTTATTTTTTGAAAGGCAGCATCACAGAGACACAGAAGAGACATAGAGAGATTTCTCTCTGCTGTTTTACTTCCCAAATGGCTGCAGTGGCCAAGCCCAGGCTTCCTAAAGCCAGGAGCCTGGAGTTCCATCCAGGTCTCCCACATGTGTGGCGGGGTCTAGGCACTTGGACAATCTTCCACTGCCTTCCCAGGTGTATTAACAGAGAGCTGGAGTCTCAAAGCTGCACTTATGATATGCTTACATACATGAGCAGGTGGCTTAACTCACTGAGCCACAACCCTAGCCCCTCCACAAAAGCAGACTTTCTAAACACTGTACATGACAAATACAGGGATGAACTTGTGCAAAGTTTATTTTTTAAAGATGTATTTATTTACTAAATTGAATGGCAGAGAGAGATGGAAAGAGAGAGTGATCATTCATCTACTGGCTCACTTCTGAAATGCCTGGGTCAGCCTGAAGCCAGGAATCCAAAACTGCATATGGTTCCCCCATGTCGTTGGCCAGAACTCAGGAATTTGGACCATCATCCACTGTTTCTCAGGCACAGTAGGAAGAAACTGGATTGGAAGTGAAGGAGTTAAGACTGAGAACTTCACTGTGATATGGGATGTGGGGGTAACAAGTGGCAGCTTAACCCACATTGTCACAATGATCTACTTGATTTGTTTAATAAAATTTGAGCTGGTTGACTTGGTATTCTTATAAACTTAGAATGTCTGTGCTTGGTTATACATCGTTAGCAAAACAAAAAATACAAGAAAGTAAAGCTTACATTTTACTTTAACAAGGATTTCATTGTTGAAAGTCAGAAAAAAGAGCTGATACTTCTCTTTGTGTAGTAAGTACACATGGAGGCTTTGGAGCCACATTAGCTGACTTCAAATCCTGTCTACTTCGTGGTAGCTATTTCACTTTTCAAGGCCTCACTCCTTCATAGGTGGGATGTGGCTCGTAATAGTGACCTACTCGTGCAGATATAAAATGCTTATACTCTATGTGGCATTTGGTGAGTTCTTACTGAATCTTAGTTCTTCTGTTACTGCTAATGATTGATTGATAAGACAATTCATAGAGTCAGCACCCTCAGATTCAAGGCCTGGGGCAGAATAATTGACCTCTTCACTACCATCACCTATCATACTATATTCAGTATTGTAGCATAGTGAGTAAAACCACTGCCGGGAACACTGGAATCTCATAAGGGTGTTAGTTCATGTCTGGCTTCTCCACTTCTGAGGAAAAGCAGTTTGAAAGATAACCAAAGTGTTTGGGTCTTGCCACCCATAAGAAAGATATACATGAAGCTCCTGGCTTTCATTTGGCCCAGCACTGGCCTCTGTAGTCATTTTGGGAGTGAATCAGCAGATGGAAGGTTTATGTTTTTGACAGAAGGAGGGAGAAACATGCTCCATCCTCCAAATGCTTGTAGCAGCTGGGGATTGCCAAACCAAAGCCGGGAGCCAGAACTCTATATGAGTCTCTTCCAGGGGAGAATATTTGAGCCATTGTCTGCTGCCTCCCAGCCACGTCAGCAGGAAGCTGGTTCAGAAGCAGAGGCAGGAACAAGGTGCCCCAGAGACAGAATCTACTAGTGCCCTTGATCTTGAGTTTCTCATCCTCTGAAAGAATGAAATAATAATTTTCTATTCTAAGTTACCAAGTCTGGGGTGGAAATTTAGATGAATAGTTAGGGAACCATTTAAGAAATGCCCATCTTACATGGAACTCCCTGGGCTTATTTCCTGGCCCCAACTCCCAATTTCTGCTTTGTGTTAGTGCAGAGCCTGGAGGGTATTGGTGGCAGCTTGAGTAGTTGGGCTTCAGCCAATTACATGAAAGATCTGAATGGGGTTTCTGGCTCCTGGCTTTTCCTGGCCCAGCCCCAGCTGCTTCCTGCATTTTGAGAGAGAATTAGTGGATGGAAACTCTCTCTATTCTTTCCTTTTTCTCAGTTCATTCTGCCTTTCAGGTGAAAAATAAAAGTTATCCAGTATGGTATTTTTAAAAAGATTTAATTATTTTATTGGAAAGATTTACAGAGAGAAGGAGAAACAGAGAGAAAGATCTTCCATCCATTGGTTCACTCCCCAAGTGGCTGCAATGGTCAGAGCTGAGCCAAAGGAGCTTCTTCCAGGTCTCCCATGCAGGTGCAGGGTCCCAAGGCTTTGGGCCATCCCCGACTGCTTTCCCACGCCACAAGCAGGGTGCTGGATGGGAAGCAGAGCAGCTGGGATAGGAACTGGTGCCCATATGGGATCCTGATGCTTGAAAAGCAAGGACTGGGCGGACGCGGTGGCCGCAGTGAGTAAGGTCCTCGCCTTGCATGCCCTGGATCCCATATGGGCACTGGTTCTATCCCAGCAGCCCCGCTTCCCTTCCAGCTCCCTGCCTGTGGCCCGGGAAAGCAGTCGAGGACGGCCCAAAGCTTTGGGACCCTGCACCCACGTGGGAGACCCGGAAGAGGCTCCTGGCTTCGGATCGGCATAGTATCGAGCCGTTGTGCTCACTTGGGGAGTGAATCATCGGATGGAAGATCTTCCTCTCTGTCTCTCCTCTCTGTATATCTGCCTTTCCAGTAAAAAAATAATAAAAATAAATCTTAAAAAAAAAAAAAGCAAGGACTTTAGCCACTAGGCTACCCTGCTGGGTCCCAGTATGGTATTTTGTTTTGGGAGTACAAATTGGATGAATCTATAAGTTTTTTGTTTCCAATTATTTCCAATACTTATAACAATCCTGGTCTAGGACAGGGATTTTCTTTTTTATTAGTACCACATCTCTGTAATAATGGGGCAATCTGTGATATGTTTGAAAATTCAGAAGATACAAAATAATAGTAGTGTAGTAATAGGACAAGATTAGGTATAATTCAAATCACCACATTAATGCCAAGTATTCTCCAAGGAGTTAATGTTTGCTTACTTGAAAGCATGTTCATGATATTTGTTATAACCCGTGTTTAGGAGATTAATGCCCTGTACACAGTGTTGAGTATTTACAGTGTCTCCACTATCACCTAAGAGAAATTGTTTTGTAGCAACATCATAACTGCCGTGTATATGAAGTTTAAAATGGTTTCTATGTGCAACAGTTAAGACCCTCCTCTGGACATCCACATCCTGTATTAGAGTACCTGGGTTCAGTTCCCAGGGCTACTCCAGATTCCAGCTTCCTGCCAGTGTGAGCCCTGGGAAGCTGCGGGAGTTAAGTCAGGTGATTGAGTCCTGCCACTGCCTTGGGAGACCTGGATTGAGTTCCTGCATCCTGGCCTTATTTTGGTCTGCTTCTGGTATTTGAGTTCATTTGCAAAGGTCAATCAGCAGATAGGAGATCTCCATCTGTTTTTCAAAGCAAATTGCTTAAAAGGGATGCTGTGTGAATTTTACATCAGTAATACTCCATTTAAGCCAGAGATTTTTTTTTAAAGATTTATTTTTATTATTTTTTCATTGGAAAGGCGGATATACAGAGAGGAGAGACAGAGAGGAAGATCTTCCGTCCGATGATTCACTCCCCAAGTGAGCGCAACGGGCCGATACTATGCCGATCCGAAGCCAGGAGCCTCTTCCGGGTCTCCCACGCGGGTGCAGGTTCCCAAAGCTTTGGGCTGTCCTCAACTGCTTTCCCAGGCCACAAGCGGGCAGGGAGCTGGAAGGGAAGCGGGGCTGCTGGGATTAGAACCGGCACCCATATGGGATCCCGGGCGTGCAAGGTGAGGACCTTAAACCACTTGCGCCACCGCGCCGGGCCCTAAGCCAGAGATTTAAAAAAATTAGTATCTTTAAAAAAAAATAAAAAAAAAATAAAAAATTAGTATCTTAGCATCCAGTCTAAGCCTCTGTCTGTGACAGTAGCATTCCATGTGGGTGCCTGATCAAGTCCTGGCTCTTCTACTTCTGAAATGTTATTTATCATTAAAAAAAAATAATGATTACATTGTAGATCAGCTTGGGAAGGATCAAGGTTTAGGGAAAATCAGGTGAATTCATTTCTTCCAATTTTGCTATTTCTGGGGGAAGGGTAGAAACAAAGGGGGAAAACCACACACGACTTTCCACACATCCCAGTACCCAGGGATGAGGAACCGCCCCTCATATCAACTGAGAGCCTCAGGATGGGAGGAGGCTGTTCTACTTTGATCCAGCTCCTTGCTAATGTACCTGGGAAAGCAGCAGGAGATGGTCCAAATACTTGGGCCTGTGCACTCATGTGGGAGACTTGGAAAAAACTCCAGACTCCAGGTTACAGCCATTTGGAGAGCGAACCGGTGGGTGGAAGATTCTCTGTCTCTCCTCCTCTCTCTGTAACTCTACCTTTCAAATAAATTTTAGAAATCTGAAAAACTAATATATTAATATTAGTTTTATATTAATATTACAGGTTTATTGACTTCACAAATAGGATTCACTTGGGACTCCCTTAAGTAGTAAACTTCTGTATGTATTTGAAATGATTACTAAACACTTAACATTTATTTGGGATAGAGGTTGCAGTGTGAAAGGGCAAGTTTATAAGTATTAGGAATGGGGCATGGCATGGTAGCCTAGTGGCTAAATTCCTCACCTTGCATGTGTTGGGATTACAGATGGGCACTGGTTCATATCCCATCTGCTCCACTCCCCTTCCAGCTCTCTGCATATGGCCTGGGAAAGCAGTAGAGGAGTATCCAAAACCTGGGGACCCTGTACCCATGTGGGAAGTCTGGAGGAGGATCAGCTCAGCTCCAGTCATTGTGGCCAGCTTCGGTCCCACTGACCCAACGAGCAGATGGAGGATCTTTCTCTCTAGCTCTCCTTCTCTCTGTAAATCTGACTTTCCAATAAAAAAACATTTAAATAAATACATCTTTTCTCTTTAGAGAGGGCAAATCACTCAGTTCTCTTGACAGACACTCCCTTTAGAAATATGTGAGAACATTTGCTTTCAGTCTGAAGCCTGCATCATGGAGCTCTCTGTTCCTTTTGGTTAAATTCTAAATGTCATGTCTGACACTGATTTCTGTCTGTCAGGTGCCGCCCAGAGAGCAGCACACAGTCCAAGGACTCAACTGTTGGTTCTCCATCCAACTTCAAGGAATCGTCCCTTCATGGTCAAGTTGCCTTTCGACCCTTGCCTTCGCCCTCCAGGAGCAGCTGTCAGTCCACACCAGCTACTGGCAAAACCATCAGTAGGACATCTTGTACCACAGACACAAAAGAAACCCAAGACCTTGTGTCTCACAAAGGTTACCTAAGTGAAATCCCTTATAAGTGCAATGGGAATGGAAATGAGTTTTATTTAGAAAATTCCTTCTTAACCTCCACTTTCCAGAGCAGCAAAAACCTCGAGAAAAGGGACTTGGAACTTCATTTGTACATCATCTCTACTACCTCGTCTATATTTCTCCACTTAAAAAGTTCATGGAACAATTACAATATAGTAAGTATCTTAACAGTCTTGATTACTGGCAAACATGCCTTTCCTGATCAGCCTCCCCACTTTGGAAATTTAGTCTTAGAATTTAACAATAATGTGAAAGACAAGATACACTGGGCAGTTAAGGGATTGATCTTATTCAGGCTGTTCCAGTAGGGAAAATGCTCCTTAAGTGGGATTGTCTCATAGAGGAGAAGGATTTGAAGTTTTGTAGAGGCAGGTGAATAAGGTGGCCATCAGTGTGTCTTAGGATAGTCTTTGTGAGCAGAGTGTCTTTTGCAGTAAGAGTGAGTGACAGGCAAATTTAAATTGTCAATATGTTTTTATGTGTCTTAGCTGCACTCCTAACAATATGCTAAATCAGTGTTAGAGGGGCCAATAATCTTATCCAGATGTAATGAGTTTAAGTTCCTTAGTTTATAAAGTGAGGAAATTGAAGTACAGCAATTTTGAAAAAGGATTATCTTATCTATTATTTGAATGGAAGACAGGAACATAGACAGAAAGATCTTTCATCCATTGGTTTACTTTCTAAATGGCCACAGTGACCATGGCAGGGCCAGGCCAAAGGCAGGTTATGATCACAGGGGATCCCACTTCTGCAGGTGGCAGCTTAATGCACAGTGTCACAACACTAGCCCCATTGTTGAGCTTCCTGAAGTACCCTCATCTGTAATATCCACTAATGGTAGGGGAATTGATGTTCGGTAAGCAAAGATTTTAACCACTTCTCTTTTTATCCTGTTTCAGAAAGCAACTCTTTTACAAGATCCCTTATATGCTAGTGAGCTCGGTCCCACAGCTGGAAGTGAAAAGCCATATAAGTAAGTGGTGCAGATATGAGAGTTGCATGGAGCATTTTTTCCTCTTCTCTTCACCTCTGCTAACTCTGCAATGTGTGTATGTGACCATCGCATTTGTGCCTGCACACCCAGGCATCCACTGGATGTTACTTCTGCAGTATCTTGAGCAGCTTGAAAGTACATTGAGAGAACTCAGCATCTTCCATCTATGACCTAACACTCCTCTTGTGCTTCCTAATGCAGAGAATGATGTCATTGTCCTCAGGTCACCTAAGCTAGCATCCTCGATGGTACCCACTTCCTTTCCTCTACCCCCTCCCATAGCCAGCCAATCGCATACTCTTTGGTACACAATGTATCTTCTTTCCCCTGCAACCTGCTCAGGCCCAATTATCTTCTTTCAGGGACCCAATGGTACTTTCTTAGCTGGTCTTGCCTTCATTCTCCTTGACAAACTGATCCTATAACCCCTTTCTGAAGCCTTGGAATGCCCCCTCCCATTGCCCTTGTGAAAGACTGTAAATTGTGACATTTTATAAAGAAGTTCATGATGTCACTTAACTTTCTCTTCCTGTTCTGTTGTGTTCCTCCTCACTGCTGCCCTGAGCAACTACTCTGAATAAGCTGCTTGCCATTCAGAAAGCTCCCTGTTCTCTTCTCCTTAGACCCTAATCTGATGCCCCTCTTCTGGAACCCTTATTCTTTTTCACCTTCTTGAACATCCTCAACTTAGTGAGTCTTAGCCTATCCATTCTTTTCTCTAGAAATCTTACCTTGACTTCTCAAAGCTAATTCAGGAGGGGGATGTTTCTGCCCTTACCTGTCTTGTAGAATATACCAATCTGTTATGATTGCTAGGATTGCTTGCTTTATTACTAGTTGTTATGCGGCAAACAATGAATAAATAAATGAGGTGAAATAAAGGCAGATATCAGATCATGTAAGATCTTTTGTGTGAGGCTAAGGTTCGATCACATTCAGCTTTATGTTGTGGTAGTTCCTTGTGATGTGACTATTTATCCATTAGATTGTGAATAAGGTAAAGGGAGGGTATTACATAAATTTAGAATATAAGGAACATATCCTAAATGGGTATTTTTAAATGTTTATGGAAAAATAGAATTTAAATGTTTTTGTCAAAATATTCCATACATAATTTTTCCCTTTTATATGTATTTCCATGAAGTCTTAAAGACCATTAAATCTTGCAATTGTTTTACTTAGAGCAGTTCTTTACACATATAAGCATTCAGTGACTTAATGGCTGCAATTTTGATATTAAGGAAGTTACATGTAAGGTTTGAGAGATTCATGGTAATGAGGTATACTGGGAGGATTATGTAAATTAGCTAAGACTACGTTAATTTCCAAAGATTCATTTTCAGTTTCCGCTAAAAGGGATCAAAGCTTTTGGAAGAATTCTAGGTCTGGGACAAGAAATATACCAAATGACTCTGAAACAGAAGCCCAGGAAAATAAGGCTGGAACTAAGAAACTGACATGAAGTTAGTCTACCATTAGCCAAAGGTAGGGCACCTTGAATGTTGGAATAAATAACACATGAGGTGTTTCAGCATGATGGACGTATAAAAATTCAGAAGTCTGTTGTGATGCATTACAGAAGAAAGGAACTCCTGTCCCACCCTTCACAGAAGAAATAAACATTGTTGAACATTAGAAGACACTAGGGCACCAGCACCTTACCCTGGAAAGAGCTAACAAATAAGAAGAATTATCCCATCTTTTCTGTGTGAATTGAAACCTATTTAGTTGCACTAGTTGTTGGGGGCGAATTCTACTTTATGAAATTCTAGGTAATGAATGCAAGAGGCTGAGCATTAGAAAATCATCATTTTGCAACATTTAATGAAAAAAAGAAAAAGAGCCTCATGCACCTGTTCTCTGTGTATGAAAGTATAAGCTAGAAAGGCAAAGTAAACTTCAAAGCAGAGGGATCATACTGTAAATGGCTAAATCCTTTGATCAGAAATATTGTCACTTAGCCAGACTGTATGTGTCTCATTATATTTGCTTCAATATGAAGCAGTAAAACCTAGGAAGTGCTTTTATTAAGACAGTTAAACATGAATCTGATCTAAAAAGCATGAGTGCTTATAAAGATAGCAAATTCTGATACTTGTTACAGTGTGGGTGAGCCTTGAAAACATGATGTTAAGTGACATGTGACTGACACAAAGGGGCAACTGCCAGTACTGCATGAATAACTAAAACATGGTTAACGAAATGCTAGAAATTGTTGACACTGGCTGATAGGTATGTGGAAATTTCTTGCAGTTTGTTTCCATTTTGGGGTGTGCTTGAAATTTTCCTAAGAAAAAAAATTGTCAAGGAGAGGGGAGGAGAAATTCCCAGAGCCTATGGAACTGTATCATAAAAAAATTAACAATTTAAAAACGTTTAAATAGGGCCCAGTGCGATGGCGCAGTGGTTAAGGTCCTCGCCTTGCACGCCCAGGATCCCATATGGGCGCTGGTTCTATCCCGGCAGCCCCTCTTCCCTTCCAGCTCCCTGCCTGTGGCCCGGGGAAGCAGTCGAGGATGGCCCAGGGCTTTGGGACCCTGCACCCGTGTGGGAGACCCGGAAGAGGCTCCTGGCTTTGGATCGGCATAGTATCGAGCCGTTGTGCTCACTTGGGGAGTGAATCATCGGATGGAAGATCTTCCTCTCTGTCTCTCCTCTCTGTATATCCGCCTTTCCAATGAAAAAATCATAAAAATATAAATCTTTAAAAAAAAAAACAAGGTGAGATCTGCATATGAGAAAACAACCCACATCCCTGTATTTTATAGCAGCACAATCCATAATTAGCAAAGACATGAAAACAACTCATATGCCCATCCAAAGAGGAATGATAATGTAACTGTGGTACCTCTACTTGATAGTCCAAGGAATATTATTTAGTCATTAAAAAGAATGAAGTTCTACTGTTTGCAACAAAATGGTCCCAACTGGAGACTATTATGGTCAGGGAAATAAGCAAGTTCCAAAAGGATAAATGTTATATGTTGTCTCTGATATAAGGCAACCTTAATGCAGATTGCAAAGCAGATAGATATATAGGTAAACATGTATATACATATGTTCTCATAGATGAACTGCAAAATGGAGACTGGCATACTGGGAAGAGAAGATAAATTGCAGTATGCGTTCCTACTTCCAAATAAATGGAGGAGTCCCAACGAAACTGTTAAATATAACTTGACAGTATGATACTGAATTTTCTACTTTTGTCTATACCTACAATCCCATGATGCACTTAAACTTTTAACTGTTACTAAAGGACTATATTTTTTTTATAATAATATGAGGGAAAATAATGGGAGGGGAAAATGGAGAAAGATAAAAAGGAGGGAAGGGAGGGAATCCCTATGCCTCCCAAACTGTATCACAATCGTAAGAAATAAAAAATAAAAATAAAGACATAAAACATAACAATTACAGGTATTATTATTATCACCATTTTATGATACAGTTCCAAAGGCCCTGGGATTTCCCTTGTTCCTTTCCCAATCCCTACCCCCACTGAGTTCTCCCATATCATTACAGCAGCATAGTTCCTCATAAACAGCCAAAAGTCCATCATTGCGGGCATGGACAATGAAAAAGAATCCAGCATCCCATTGTCAAGATACTAAAAGCAAAAACATCAAAATCCATGAGTTATAGCTTCCAGTGATCTTTGTTGGTGAGATGTATTTCCTGTAGGCAACAAATAGGTGGGTTTGTTTTTTGTTAATCCAGTCTACTAATCTATGTTTGATTGATGAGTTTAATCCATTTACATTCAGGGTTAATATAAATAGGTGGTAATTTGGTCCTGTCATTTAGCAATGGGTTGCTCATTGATTTAATCTTCTGTTGTTATTTTACTGGGATGTCCTTCATATTTGCCTTTGGTGTTGGTGGATTCTACTCCTCTTCTCTGTCAAGAGAACATCTTGAAGTATCATTTGTAGGGCAGGTTTGGAAGAGGCATATTCTTTTTAACTTTTCTTTACTATGGAAGAATTTTATTTCATTATCAAAGACAAAAGAAATTTTGCTGGATATGTTATCCTAGGCTGACAATTTTTTTTTTAGAATCTGGAATATGTCACTCCATTCTCTTCTTGTCTGTAGAGTTTCCTGTGAGAGATCTCCTGTGAGTTTAATTGGCATTCCTTTATATGTCAATTGATGTTTTTTCATGTATACATTTAAAGATCATTTCTTTATGTTTGATTGAAGAGAGCTTGATGATCATGTGTTGTGGTGAAAATTGCTTTTGGTCAAGCCTGTTGGGAGTTCTGTGCCCCTCCTGGATGTTGTTTCCCAATTCTTTCTCCAGATGAGGGAAGTTTTCCTTTATTATTTCATTAAACACATTTTCAAACTCAGCATTTCTTTCTGTACCTTCTAGAACTCCCATAACTCTTATATTTGGCCTTTTAATAGTGTCTTTCAATTTATGAATACCTGTTTTAGCTTGACCCAGCTCTGTTTCCAACTTTTTGATTGTTTCCCCATTGTGGCAAGAAAGGTCTTCCAATTCTGAGATTCTTTCTTCCTCCTTCATTCCATTTTGGGGAATCTCCACTCTACTTTTAATTTGCTCTATTGCATCCTTCATTTCCAGTAGTTCTGCTTGATTTTATTTCAGTGTTGCTATTTCATGTTTGACATATTCCTTTAATTCCTGCATGTAGTTTTGAATTCTGTATCCCCCAATTTCTCAATGTCTTCGTCAGTTAACTCTGAGGTTGGCAGAAGTTTTTGCTCCTTTGCAGGGGAGTCTTCAATAATATTGATTGTGCCTTTGTCTCTTGCTCTTGGTCGTTGTAATTCTGGTTAGCATATTCTTCTCCTTGGGGCAGGTTTCTAAGCTGTGTCACCTACAGGTCTGCAATTCAACTTTACCTATTGTGGTTGTTACATCATTCTTTGTAGTAACTTGTGCCACTCCCTCCAGTGAGATCCAGGTCTGGGTTCTTATGTTAGATTACCACCATGATCTTCGTAGC